TTTTCGTCCTTAAGCTACAAAACCTCTAGAATACACACTAACAACATCTTTAACCCTGAAGACTATGTTGTGTATTCTTAATCCACAGCATGATACAAAATTCAATAGATTTTGAAGCGAAGGCTGTCTTCTACCATTATTGTACAAGCACAGAAATCTTACTTACAGGGTGTTTTGGATCAGTCTCAGTTGAAAAATTGCTAGGATTGCTGTTAAAAATTTCTAGCTCCAGAGTTTCATGTGTAGGATTAAAGAGCGGTATGTGTAGACGAGTGCATCTGGAAAAAAATGCATATATGTAATGAATATTAATTACTAAGCTTCTTCCATTGCATTTTATTATTCAACACTTGTATTCTTTCTTGAAAAATGGGTACTTTTTAAAATACGAATTATGATTTATTGCATTAGCATTTTTCCACTAGTATGGACACATATTTAATAGCATTCATTACTATTATTAATAATTATTAATAACAGTAAAAAACTGGTAGCAATAACCATTCTAATACTTGGGTCATTCATAAGGGCAGAATTTGTCTCACCGTACTTCAGTTGTCAGGAAGTTAGCTGAAGTTAGTTGGTTAAAGGAACTGTTTAGCTCCCTCAGTACTCAACAAGGTGAAAAACATTTTCAGGGAGAATTGGTCCTAATGTAGAACACTAAGATGTGGAATCACTTTTCCTTGTCTAAGGAGGAGCATAGGCTTAATTCTTTAAACTTGAAACCTAACTTTTAGATAGGAGGATGTGGAAAAGAATCCTAGTGTCCCTGATACCACAGTGTCATATTTATTCCTAGGCTCCAATTTGCAGATGTATGTCTCACCTTTCTTTCCTTGCTTTCTGTAGATCTAACTTTGGAATAAAACATTTTAGTCAAATAGATAATTTAGAGTGCCAAAGCCAACAAAAAAATCTGGTTCCAAAAAGTAAAATAATTGTAAGTACATCTTATTATTCTGTAGTCTATTCATAGACTCATCATCTGCCTCAGGAAAAGCACTGGACAGAAATTAAAGGTAATCAGATAAATGACAGCTCTAACTCCTGTTTGTCGAAGCAATGGTTTACAGGAGAAGCTTGTAATTATGTAGTGCTGCCAATAGCTTTTGATTTACTGCCATTAGGCAACCATTCTTCTTGACCATCTTGTAACCCTGAGATCTCAAAACAAACATAGTGTTCCACACCTGTCTTTTAAATGGACGGTCTGCCTGCTTCCCTCCTCTTTCTTGCTCTGCAAGAACTCAGAATCTGTTTCATTTGTTACAATTATTGTGTTGCTCATTACAGCATAGTGGTAAATCATTATGTTGCATATGTAGATTATGTATTTTAAGGAGTATTGTGGCTGTCCCAGAAGAAAGACTGAAGTACGTTGATTGTCTAAATGTTATGATTTAATCATCTGGCACTCTATTTTACAGACTGTCCTTCTTAATTTGCTAATCAAAGAATAAACAAACACAAGATATCTTCAATAGGGAGCACAATTTTGAAAAAAATTCATAAAACTCCTAAAAGTTCCTCTATTCTGATCAAAATAATATATTATTTGCCTTTAACAAAGTTATATGACCATAAATCACATGCTTCTTATAACACCAAGGGACACAGGAAAGAGATTCAAGGTGAATCGGTGAAAATAGTAAATAAGAAAAGTTTGAAAAATGAGATACATATATTGGTTTTGCTGTAATTTATCTACCTAATGGATATTCCTTCTAGTCAAAGCTATGGCAGGTCAACTGCCAGGTTGCTCCACATATTTATCCTCTGGAAAAAATTAGTCAGTTAATCATATTTAAACCAGCAAGGAAAAAGAAAATATAAAATGTAACGTTCAGAAGAGAAGGTATTTCAGTCAAGCTTTACAACTGTAACTTCGGGCCTTAAAACTTGCATGCAAGTGGGCTCCTTCCAACACATGCAGTGATACAAATCAACAGCAGCCAAGTGGCAGATTTGGTTTTGGCTAATGCTATTGAACCACTGTGTCACTGAGGTTTCAACAGCAGAGAGTAGAGAAATACCAGGAAACTTTCACACAAGAACATCAGATTTGCTTGATAATTCCCATTCTTCACATTTACCTTCTGTAGCGTTTACTTTTTTTTCTGGTCTCTTTCATCATAATACTTTGTTGAAGGAAAAACTGTGTTGGAATATCTGAAATTTCAGTAAGCAATTATTTTACTGTTAAGAGGTTCTTCAAGGGACCAAAATCCATTAAGAACCTCTGCCACCCCACACAGACTGACTACTGTGGTTACGCTAGGAAAAGTTGTTGTATATGACAGTAAATTCAAGACCACTGTGAACATCATTCAACTGACTCATCCTGAACAACTCTAGTGTGGAGCCCATAACAGGAGGGACAAATGAAGATGGAGAATATCAAGGAGAAGGTTTCCTTGCTTAGAGGCAAATGCTAAAGGATGTGTTAAATATACCTTAACAGAAACAAAAAGCATATCTGACTGTGATAAACCCAGAATGTTACGGTATCTGAAGAAGGATTAAAAGATAAAGTGTTAGAATTTGTTCTTTTCTCTTTCAACAGCTGGTTAGAAATTGTTTCTAAGTGTATCAATGGGTTCTTGGCTTCTAATCCAGTTCCAAGTGATGTTTCAAGAACACAAATCCTTATATTTTTCAGACTGATAGCAAAAAGAAACGTGGTGAGCTCATAATGAAAAACATAATTCTTAGAAGGATATCACATATGATAAATGCTTCTTCTGTAGTCAAGGAAAAGGTGATCAGATGGAAGTTAATCTCTTAAAGAGCTGCAAAGCTTCACCAACCAGAAATGCTTCAAACATTTTATGACATTTACAGTCCACGTCTCTGGGAACATAGCGAGGAACTACACCCAGTCAAAACAAATAGATATCTTTGTTAAACAGACAACACATAAATCATAGAATCATAGAATCATTAAAGTTGAAAAACACCTCTAAGATCATGAAGTCATCAAACCACACCACAATGTCTACTAAACCATATTCCAAAGTGCCACATCTACAAGTTTTTTGAACACCTTCGGGGATGGGGACTCCACCACCTCCCTGGGGAGCCTGTTCCAATGCCTGACCACTCTTTCAGTTAAGAATTTTTTCCTAATATCTAATCTAAACCTCCCCTGATGCAACTTGAGGCCATTGCCTCTTGTCCTATTGCTGGTTACCTGGGAGAAGAGACCAACACCTGCCTCACTACAACCTGCTTTCAGGTAGTCGTAGACAGCAATAAGGTCCCCCCTCAGCCTCCTCTTCTCCAGACTAAACAGCCCCAGTTCCTTCAGCCTCATAAGACTTGTTCTCTAGACCCCTCACCAGCCTCGCTGCCCTTCTCTGGACACACTCCAGTACCTCAGTGTCCTTCTTGTAGTGAGGGGCCCAAAACTGAACATAGTACTCCAGGTGCAGCCTCACCAGTGCCAAGTACAGGGAGACGATCACCTCCCTACTCCTGCTGATACCAGCCAGGATGCCTCTGGCCTTCTTGGCCACCTGGGCACACTGCAGGCTCATGTTTAGCCGGCTGTCAACCAACACCCACAGGTCCTTTTCCGCCGGGCAGCTTTCCAGACACTTTTCCCCAAGCCTGTAGAGTTGCATAGGGTAAATGGCTACTGTATTGCCTTTCCATATTCAGCATGGATTAATGCAGCCAATTTATTCGGACTATCTCATCTTTTCAGCAGTTAGAGCAATTCTCAGTAATTTAACTGTAATATTAATGCCATCATTGATTGCCATTGTCCAAAATTTTGCTCTTCAAGAAGAGGACATTATGCTGATGACATAACAGAAACAAATTTCTGGAAAAAAGAGAGTGTTGAAGGAAATAACTGAACAAAAAGCAGGAGACTTTATGAAGGCAAGAATATGGCAGAGACAGAAAAGGAAGAAGTTTGTCAGTTTTGTTATACTGTGTTATTTATATATATACATAAAGATATACGAAAGAGACTACTGTTAATTTCCTGTCATAGATTGTTGTTGTTGCTGCTGTTGCTAATAGTTAAACTAACTAGTATGTATTTGTTCTTCCTGTTCTTCCACCACTATCTGCCCAGGGCAGATGTGGATGAGTTAATTTACACACATATAGGAATTACAACATGCAGCTACTTGCAAAGTGAAATCTCCTTTAAAAAATAAACCAATGAATTTGAGATTATATTTTTGACAGGCAAGTGTTGTAGTTAATGGGGCTAATCCTTTCCAAAGTATATTTTATTTGCATTAGGAAAATATGACTTGCCGTTCTCATCCAGACCACTTTTGCATATAGTTCACAGGTAGTGCATGCTAGAGAAAATTATAAATGCCAGATATGAATGAAAAGGCTCTCAGTTATTTCTAACTCCTAATAGTGTCAGCCTACATTGTAGAGTAAAACTACGTTTAGTCCAGTCAGCACTGAATTGTAAAGTAAAAATCGTGAAACAGACAGCCCTACTGATTTTCTTAGAAAAACAGAGCAACATAGGCATTGTCAGTTAACTCTGGTCTATGCATAATATAGGAACAGCAGAATATATTCACTCACAAAAATTTGATCAGGTAAAATTTCATGTTGTGCTCTCTAACAACATCTTTTGCTCAATCTGTAATGTATATTAATTATACACTTAGTCAAAGATACGATATACAGAAGTGGAATATAGCATTCAGAAGACCAGTGTGTCCACAGAACCTACTACTAAGCAGAGCTAACAGGTGGAAGAGAACTACTGAAATTCTGGCAGTCTTGAAAGTCTTCTCCTAAAAGTCTTGATTTCTGTCTTGAAAGTCAGAACTGAAAATTACACTCTCAAAACGCAATACGAAATTTTGTTGAAGGAGGACATGAATTGTGTTCATTTCTCTGTCTGCTCCAAGTAGCCCATTTTCTTAACACTTGCAGTGTTTCAACCATGTCTTGCCCCAGGATCTGCAGGACAGAAGTGGTACTACTTTGCTATTTCCTGAGAGCTTAAAAGAAATTCATAACTGGTACACAAGCACTTGTAAAGCATGACTGTCAGAGATATTCCTAGTTCAGAAAGAGAAAAGAAATAGAAAATAAAACAAACCTACAGAACTCCGTATTATAGATCTTTAAGATTACATTCTGCAGGATTTTCAGAGTGATATCTGTACATAAAGACTTCAGAGGGAGTCTACATCTAGGCTACAATAACATTTAAACTGCTTTTCTGCAAGAAGAATTTCACCTATCTACGTATATGCCTACGAAAATTATCTGAAAACTACTACAGTACACATAGAGGACTATTCTGTTTTTTTGATGTAAACTCTTCATATGTTTTCTGTGAGACTTCAAACCAGTGACCAAGTTCCACACGATGAATTACATACTTACTTGCCAAGCTCACATTCTATTTCAGGTAGACTAGTTGGCAGTGGTTTCTCTACAATCAACTTCAGTGCATACCAAAACTCTCCAACCATATCTGACAGGAATATGACACTAAAAACAGATAGAAAAGCTTAATACGGCACAGCTTTTCTGCAGACAATTAAAAATGTACAGATTAAAATTCAGGAAAAAACAAATGAGTTCAACACAGTGAGTTCTTTAATTAGCTCCCAGCTTTCCCGTGACACTTGTTGTTGGTAGCTGAAATCAGCTACCAAAACTAATAACATTTACAGTTACTGATGCAACAAAATCTCTTCTTCATCTTTCTTAACTTCTTAGCATAAACAGTTGTTTGTTGGGGTATTTTTGTTTGTTTATTTTTTCAAAAATACAACTCAAAAGCATTTCAACTGTTGACTTACAAGACTAAGCTTTAATTTCATTTCAATGTCACAGTATTTTCTTTCTAGCAGTTTTGAAGTCAAAGGACAAAGAAATTGAAATAATATCCACTGATTTTAAAAAGGAAAACCTTTTCAAATCTAGTGATGAAAGCTGAGGAATAGATATAGACACATTTATAGGAGCATGAAAAATAGATACTCTTCAAAGGAATATTCAATATACTGTTTTGATATACAATCAAATGTTGTCATGACTGAAAATTGCTTGCTGCTAGGTGAGATATGTACTACACCATATTTCTGTGACAGGCATTCTAACACACTGCTTTTCTGTTGCAGATTTCTTTTTCTATTTCTTGCTTTTCTGAGCAGCAGAGTAATAACAACATTAAACCAAAGCACTGTAAGCATATAAAACTTAACATGAAATGCACTGTGCAAACCCATGACCCAAAAAGGGCCAGTTCTTGTTCTAAATGATAGATAACTATGTCTGTTCCATGACTTTATGGTTCCAGACTATCCCCTGTGCCAACAGAGATTTTAAAGTAAGCATAAAACAGCTTAGGAAAGAATCATCCATAAAAAAAGCCCCCCCTGCCACAAACACTTTTTTAATACTTCTTTCCAGCTGCTACCATAGCAAAGGAAACAGAGCATAGCTTCAGAAAAAAAGTTAACAGTGTGGATGTAATGTGGAAGTACCTCCGTCCAGCTGTAACTGTAGTCCTTGGGAGCTACTGCAATTTAAAGCAGCTATTAAACAGCTTTCTGGTACAGTACTGCATAATTGTATTGAATATGTACAGGCGTACTTTATGTCATCTTTGCATATATTCCTCTAAGTCCCAGCCTACAAATCAGCTAAGCCCAAAGTTTTTCCAGTTAAAGCAAATATTTATTTTATTATTTGGAAATTCTGCATTTATATAGTGCGTAATACCAAAAGTATTATCTGGTATGAAAAAATGAAGTCTATTGTCATTCGCAGCTTCAGAATGCATAATTTCTACAAATTTCCAAAGAAAAAATATTTACCAGAGTGATAATAGTACTCATTTTTATAAAACAATATTGCTTAAAAGCTGTATTGTAAAATGATATCCGCCTTTATGCTGGTCTTTGGAAAAATCAATACAAGCAAATTGAACAAAACTTTTAAATACATGGATTTCAGCTTTGTAAATATTGGGTCTTCAAACACAGGTCATCTGTCTCTGTCCTCTTCATAAGCCACCATCTAACCCTCCTCTCCATCCCCATGTTTTTGCCAGTCACTTGGTATCATTGAAAAACAGGGAAATGTTTTTCAATTAGCCCTTCCACTAAATAATGCTTTGCTAACCAAATCACAGGAAAATAAGCTTTGTAATTCTGCACTCTTCAGTTACTTGCTGAACTACTTTAGCTGAAACTCAGACCAAGAGGTCATCCGTCTTTGTATTGCTAATTATCATACCTGCATGGTTTCGCTGGGATTTCCAACGCAATGAAAAATTTGTAATATAAAACCTCTCCATATTCATTTAGCAGATCATTGTTAATTAATGGAAGATTATGAAGCTAAATGGATTTATGTGAAGACTGCTAAATGGTTCTTCACGTGGTTTGAGTTACGTTGTTATAGTTTCATTCCTTTTCAGAAGAAAAATGATATCCCTTTATTCCCTTTAAGGACCTTCGAAATTTACAAGACTAACAATTCATGTGAAGTTTTCAGAGGGGATTTCTAATATTAAGTAAATTTCTAAAATAATGTTAATTGAATTCTAGTGAACTAGAATAACCAGGGGTTATTCTACTGCCTGTCAGCCAGATTTTTCCACACAGAGGAAAATTGCTGTTTGGGATACAATATTGGTATCTCTTGGGGGGGGGGGGGGGGGGGGGGGATTAGGGCAATATATACTTCTAGTGACCAAGGTTTCAATGAAAGCAATTCACTTCTTCGTACAAGAGCCACAACCACAAGTAACAAAACTCTGCAACTTACCTTCCATCTGAAGTGCCAACAACAGCTGGGGAAAACTTTAGCTGGTACAAATATGTTTGTTTCGGCCCAAGAGTTAAAGTTTTTTGTCCATAAAGTGTTGGATTCTCCAGCACCACACTCAGCTGGAGAATTTTATCTGCAGGGTTAGTGATAGGAATATGAATTCCAACAGTATCCTAGAAAAAAAACCACAAAATTAATTATGAGCCGTTACACATTAAAGATCTTTCTCAAACAAATGTAGGGTGCTTACTCATGATTTACACTTACATGAACACAGGCTGCACCTTCGTTTGATGTGTGAACTAACCCAAAAAAGAGAAGTTGCAGCAAGAGATATTTCAGCCAATCTTCAAATTGTAAACTCTTTAACTCCATTAATAAGAAAAAGCTCAAGGCTTCCTGGCCAGTCTGCATTTTAACAGGCTACTACACCTTCCAAGATATGGCTGAGGCTTGCCAAAATACACCTTGCAGGCAGATCTGCTGTAGTCCCAACCATATAAACAAACCCTCCAAGCCACCTTCCAACGGCCAAGCACAGAGATTTGAAAATGTCCACTTTGCAAGCTGGCAAACGATTTGGGCTGAATTCTGCAGGATCTGTTCTCTTAATTTTTAAGCTGCATCATAACATAATACTTGACATTAAAACACCACTACCACAATAAACATTCCCTCTCTTGTTCCTTTTTTGCCCTTTCCCCTACTAGTGGTCTCCATATCTTTCTGTTTAAAGTCTATGAACACTTTAGGCAAGGACTATCGTTTCTTCACTGTCTGGACAACACGGCTGCTGTTAAAGATGCATATTAAATTCCAGTTACTATAATAAAAAGGAGCAAAACTATGGATTGATTAGATAAGTATGCATACTTTACACATGGAACACCTTTCAGATGAGCAGATATTGGACAGAGGTGACTCACAGCTGCTAAATTACATTCCTGAGCTGCTCTTGAAACACTGCTATATTTCAGCAGTGTTCCAGTGAGCTTCTTCTTTGCTGTAAGGTTAAAAATAGTGTAAATCCATCCTACTTACCCTATGTGTATAAATATCAACACACATTATGAAACAAAACACTTCAAACAGACAGGAAGGAATATGTTAATAAAGGAAGTCCATCGTCACAATTCAGAAAGCATACCTGCAGTTTAAAATATATAAGTTCTATTCATATATGTTCATCTATATAAAATAAGTAAAACCCAAACCCAAATATACGTATTTATTTCTCTGTATCTGTGTTTATCCCTATTTAGTTCCCTTTCCTTTACTTTAACCAAGTAGGTTATTTTAAAATGCAGGGGGGGTTAAACATATGGTGATTTGGTTCTCACAGCAAAATTTTGCTATATGCTTTTTTGTAAAAATTAAATAATTCAAATTGCAATAGGAAAATAGAAAAAGATAAAATATCTACTAAAATTAATAATATACTAAAATCTGAACACGAAATACTTTAGAACCCCACACACAGCTGCCTCACTCTGCTTTGGGCCTGCCCATGATTTGGTAAATTTCTGTATATTTACATTTCCAGAAAATTACTACTGGAACACACATAAAACACATTTAATATTCTACATATGGCAAGATTATACCAACAATTTAAATCACTCAAGTGTCTTGCATCAGTAAGATGGTATTTAAATTTGCCATTAAATATTTTAAAGCTCAGATTAATAGTTCTTACTGGTGTAAATAACTTTCTAAATCTATATCTACCATTTTATTGGTAAAGGCTTCATCACAATTTTATAGTAAAACATCTACATGCTGTGTTGAAAAAACACTTTTACAGTAAAAAGAAAATATTTGACTGCTTATTTAGGAAAAAAGCAGCAACTATCAAACAAACCTCTGTAACCTTGTTGGCAATATAAAATCTCCTTTGTGTACATTAGCTTAATGTAAAACAGTGTTCTCTTGCCAGTACAACAGGAATG